CAAACAGTGAGGCTTGAGAGCACAGTTCACAAGACTGCCCTCCCTTCTAATACCAACTGCATATTTGGGAGTTTCCCCTTACCACCTTCAGGTTTGATAATTTAGCAGAAGAACTCACAGAATTCATTGAAAGCTATCATACTCATGGTTGCAGTTTATTAGGTTATCAGGAAAGTACACAGATTACAATTGAGTAAAGACAGGTACATAGGGCAGAGTCTGGGAGGGTTCAAAACAAAGCTTTTGTTGTCTGAAGGACATGTTACTCTCCCAGCATGTGTGTGTGGCAGTATGCACTGAGTATTGCACACAGAGAAGCTCACTTGAGCTTTGAGTTCTGCGGTTTTTATTGGGGCTTCTTCAGGTGGTCATGATTGACTGGTTGATTTGCCATATGATTGATCTCAGTCTTTAGGTCAAATGACACCATGTGATCCAAAGTCCCCACCCTAAAACACATGGTTGGTCTTTCTGGTGTGGCCAGCCACCAGTTTAAGACTGTAGGGTATGACCAGCTGCATCCCCCTCTCCCCTCTGGCACTCCTCTGCCCTAAGCAAAAACCCTCCTGTCAGAGACGTAGATTATAGATTACCTCCTGGAACCTGGACAGTCTGGCAAAGGCCAGACTTTTCTTTGGGCAAGGCCAAACTCTTTAACTATACTGGAGGGACTAAGGAGAAGGAAGAGCCAAAGATAACATCAAGATTGTAAATCTAGGTTCTGTTCTAAATCTTTGAAACCATTGAGAACAAAGGGACACTTGATGTGGAAATCTGGGGAAAGTATGTTCAATTCCGTTTCTGACATTTTAGGGCTGTTTTCAACATCTCTCTGGCTTTCCAAGAAGACATTTGTAAGTGAATGTAAAGGTGGTGAACAGACAAGGTTGAAAATATGGACTAGGACATCATCTGCAGGTAGATGACGACTGAAATAAAGGGTGGCAAGATGGCAGGATGGTGAGAGACAACATGTACTTGGGGCCTGTAGATTTGGATTTAGCTCAAAGTTGACCATTTACTCTTATGTGAGATCTTGAGCAACATATGTATATTTGATCTCTCAGCCTCAGTTTTTTTTTTGTCTGTAAAATGGGTGTGCTAAAATATGTGCTTCACAGGAGTCTTCTTTTTTAGGATTTGTTTAAAAAAATAGAAAATGGAAGTACTTTTGTAAACTATAAAGCACTAAAACGAATACTATCCAGTTCATTGTAGAAGGAAGAGTTCTAAGAGACCCAGGAATAAGCCTTCAGATATGCTCAGGAAAAGGTAGTAAAAAGGGAGGGAAAAACAAAGAATTTGTGGGAAATGAGTAAATTCAGGATGAAGGCATTTTCTACTAATGGTAGTCAAGAAGTTTAATTCCAGAAGGCAAGAAAGATAATAGGGAAGTAATCAACAATAGTTTAAATTTAATTGAGATAGGATTTTTGTGGTTTATCTATTTATTGTTGTGCTATTAGGGGATATTTTTCCCCAGAACAAAAATTCTTTTTCAACTTTCGTGAGGTAAAATTGACAAATAATAAACTACACATATTTAAAATGTGCAGCTGGATGAATTTTGACATAAGTATATACCTGTGAAACTCACTGAAATTTAGATAGTGAACATAATCTATCACCCCCGAAAGTTTCTTTATGCCCCTTTGTAATCCCACCTTGCTGCTCCCCCATCCTCCTCTCCCACTCTTTCTTCCCATCCCAGCTAGAAATCACTGATCTGCTTTCTTCCACTATAGAACTATACAATATATACTCTTTTGTCTTGCTTCTTTTACTAAGCATTTACCTGTCGATAGATACATGTGTGGGAAGTACTGTATAGAAAGAAGTCACATCATTTAGGAGTTGTGTGTCAAATACAAAGGCCAGAAATGAGTCCAAAGTAACTTGGATGATCCTTATTTAGGCTGTAGGCAGGATTATGTCATTGTCTCCTGGGCTATGGAAGTTGGGTGCTGTCTGTTTATGTTTAATAGTTAATCCACAGGAGTTAGGTGATGTCCAATTTTACTTGTTCTACCTGTTACATGGTCTTCTGATGTTCACATGAAGCCTTTTAGAAGCTTCAATAACTCATGACTGATTTGCCAACAAATTGAGAAGGTATCCATTTCTCTGAAACATTCTATGCTCACATATTCTCAGACATTAATGTATATGTATGTCCAGGATGATCTCATTTAAGGATTTTCGTAAACCCCATTTCCAAAGTAAGTATCAACTAAGATGCAAATTTATCAATTCACCATGAAAAAGAAAGTCTCTGGAAAGATTCTCTGCAAAATCAAATACTAATCAGAAGTTTGACTGGTCGCTCAGCAGTCATCACATTGTGAGTTTAACTGTGTGAAATGTTTACATAATGCTTTTCAACAGGGTAAAGATCTTTGTGAATGTATCCTTTTCTCTAAAATGATTTAGTATGACAGGCATTTGTTTAATTGTCACTACAGTGAAAGAATATTGTTTTAATCTTAAGAGAAAATTCAAACTTCTCCCTTTTTCATCTTGCACTATCTTTCAGTGGTTAATAATTTAAAATACCTTTGGGGAAAAGAGTAATTGGTAACATTGTTGACATAAACAGTATTTAAATATACTCCAGACTTGTTCTGTATTGAGGTCTCTTAAATCAGTATGGCAAAACAGACAAAAAATTTCCAAACCTTTTCCAGAATCATTTCAAATAGATTTACATAAGGTACCATTGAACTGATTAATATTAATGTTTGTTTTGGTTTCCTGGGGCTGTTGTGACAAATTACCACAAACTGGGTGGGTTAAAACAACAAAAATTTATTCTTTGATCGTTATGGAGGCCAGAAATCTGAAACTAATGTGCTGACAGGGTTGGTCTCTTGTTAAAGACCTCGAGGGAGAAACTGTTCCCTGTGTTGTCCCTAGTTTCTGATAGCTGCTGGTAGTCCTTGACGTTCCTTGGCTTGTGGATGCGTTACCCTAGTCTTTTTGCCTTCTTCCTATGACCTTCTCCCTTGTGTCCCTGATCTCAGATGTCCCTCTCATGAATCATTAGATTTAGAGCCCACTCTAAGTCCAGGATGATCTCATCCCTCGATCCTTCATTTAAGGATTTGCAGAAACCGTATTTCCAAATTAGGTAACATTCAAAGGTACTGGAGGTTGGGAGTTGCATATATCGTTTAGGGGGATGTAGTTCCACCCATTGCGATGTTATTATTGGGTAACACTGATAATAAACAACTAGTCTTTGCAGTGTATACCGTGTGCCAGAAGTTGTATGGCCCTGACTTAATCCTCTCACAAACCTATGAGGTAGACACTGTTGTCAGTCTCACTTTTTTGCTGCCTTTTGTTTTTAAAGAGGTAGGTCTTGTCACTATTTCTGGCCTTGTTCCTTTCGTACACAGAATCTACTTCAGAGACTGTTAGACCTAGATAAATGCATGAGAAGCAGGATCAGTTTATCATTAAATTATTCTGGGTACTATCAGCTCCAAAATTCAGCCCTTCACATTTATTAGATTGAAGGAAAAGACCTCTGAGGTTGATCACAAGTTATGAGAGAGAAAAAGGTAGCTCTTTTCATTTCTGTGTTTCTTACTCTTGGAGAAAATGTGGGAATTCATATGTATTCATGAACAATAAATTTTCTATGCATTTTAATATTATGAGCAGTTTGTAGTAGCACTCTGAGGGCTTGTTGGGCCAACCTAGGTGAAGGAAATGTTTAAAATGTGGCTCATCTGAGGTCCTTTATCTTAATTTATCCATTTGAAACCTTTCTTTTGTGCTTTTATGTTCACTCTAGCAGAAAATTCGCTAGTCTCCAATGTTGGACTCTGACGTGGATAAAAAAGTGGCAAATGCCATAAAGAAGCTAAGAAGGAGAGAGAAGTGAAAAGAATAAAGGGAGCTAGAGGAGATCTCTTGCAGTGTTTCTTACGTGTTCCTATTAGGCAAAGGGCTATTTGCATTTGAGGAAATGTTCAGACTAGTACAGCTGTAAGGCTGCCACATAAAAATTGAGGCCAGAAAGGCTAAAAAAATATCATTTCTTTATGAGTATCCCATTACCATCATAATGCCCACTTGACATCGAAATCTGTACCAGTTTTTTTTTTGTCCTCCAAAGAGAAATTCTCTAACTTCAAACTGAAATAGTTTGTTTTAGTAAAGATGCCTTTAACAAAAATTCTTAAAAGCCAAGAGGAGTACTGAACTCATTTTAAAATGTTCAGATTTTATCCATGTATCCTATATCTTCAGATGAAATTATATTTATAAATAGAATGGGTTATTCTTTGTGTCCATGAAATAGGAGCCTGCAACATGATAGCTAGTTATTACATTGCTATACGCAACATAGGTCAAGTCATAGTTCCTGAAAATTGTGACATAGTTCACCTGCAGTATTATGAGGCATTGGTTTAGAAGACCCACATAAACGTATATTTATATCTTTTCTTTTTTATAGACGGAACCACAGAAGTTCTTACTATCTGAAAAAGAATGTAAACTGGAATAACATCTGCAACTTGCACTTGATAATTCCTCCCACCCTTCTCTTTAGCTTAATTTGGCATCTCCTTGCTGTCTTTTTACCAATCACACTGACTGACTGATGTCTTGAAATGATTAAGCTCCATTCTGGGCCCTGGTAAATTCTGTTTCTTTGCCTGGACTGCTGTCTAGTCTTTTTCTTATGCTTACCCTTTCGGGTCAGCATAAATGTTTCTACTTCAGGCAAGTCTTTTCTAACCCCTTGGATTAGGCAAGTCCTCCTTTTTCTATACTCTTACTTTTCAATCACAGAACAATTAATGTAAATAATTTAGAGGTAGGAGAGTTGCCTTTTTTGATTCACCACTGTGACCCCTAGTAAGTAGTGGTAGCGCAGTAAACATTTATTGAAATGATGAATACAGGTACGATATTTGTATCCCTTGTTTCCTGTGATTAATATATTTACCTTCTTTTTTTCACTCAAGTAAAATGTGAATTTTTTTTTCTTCTCAAGAGTTTGGCTGAATTGGAAGTATTATGTACTCATCTCTACATAGGGACTGATCTTACACAAAGAATAGAGGCTGAGAAAGCACTCCTGGAACTTATTGACAGCCCAGAATGTCTCAGCAAGTGTCAACTTTTGTTAGAACAAGGAACAGTAAGTATTTGATAACAGCAATTAACGATGAAAGATCAGTAGGTATATGTCAGTGTTAATGAATGCATCTAGGTTAGCAATGCAGGTTAATAACTGATAGGCATTATCACGTGTCTTTTTACTCTAGTTTATTTCACTGTCAAAGAATTGGAAAACCTGGAGAGCAAATTTAGGGGAGAGCCCAGGAGGTGGAAATAGGCATGAATCAAAATAGTTTCTTGATTCCTCTTGGCCCCTTTTTGTATCTTCTACCAGTGGCAGAAGTTACATTTTTAGAAAGTTGGAATTGAAAAAAAAAGTCTAGGTGGGAGAGACAGGATGTAATTAACTCTGAAACGTGAAGGAATGAATCAGAGGAATGCTAACTATTTCTTGCCTGCCTCCCTTTTAGAGATTCATAGCCATTTATTCAGCAGTCATTTAGCAAATATTTAAATGTAAAACCAGGCATTGTTTACTACCTACCTGCTTTATGTACATACATTAAAGTAATGCATAGTTTAGTTGGGGAGACATAGGTGTAAATAAAGAGCTATATGCGCTGCAGTAAGAGACTATAGGCTCTATGTGGCATAGATTGGCAAACTTTTTCTGTAAAGGGCCAGATGGTAAATAATTCAGACTCTGTGGGCCAAGAGGCAAAATCAAAGATGTTCTGTAAGTATGTCTATATGAAGAGAAAAAACAAAATTTCCACAAAGTTTATTGATAAAATTTAACGTGATAATCGAGTTTTTTTTTTTTTTTGTAATTAAGTCTACTAATGAAAAGGATGGAATTATTCTTTTGGGGATAACATTTTGCTTAATTGGGGTTCAGAGGGTTTCCTATCATTAGCATTGATTGCAAATGATCATATGTTAATACTGATCTGTAGTGAGACCTTACCAGTTTCATCTTTGAAAATGCCTTCTCACGCATGCAGATAGGTAATGCCTAATATTGATGCCAATCCATGAGCATAAGATTTTAATTAAGCATACTCATCATTTAGAAGGCATGTATTGAATTCTGTTAAAGCTTGGTATTTGCCTTTTAGGATGTCATCACATGGTAGATTAATCACTTCCAATTGAAGGTTAGGTGGAGGCTCCTCAATTGCTCAGTTAAACAGATTTGAAATATGGTGATTTCCTTTGCAATTGCATCAAGGTCCAAAAAAAGTGCTGCTGGAACTGTAGTTCGAGTTCAGAAAATATACTCAGGAATAGAATTCTTGCTTCTCGTTTGAGCATTTGATAGCGTGGAAAGTGTGTAAAGCAGCTTACTATTACTTGCGATTCAGTCAGTGTTAGTTGTTGGAATGACTGTTGCATTGTAAATTTCGTATAAGTACTAAGCACTGTTTGCCTTTTAGAAAATTTTATAACTTTAGGTTGAATTCATTGAGAAACATAATCAAGTTTGCGGCAAAAGCTAATTTCAAAAGCCAGTTAATATTCAACAGTAGTTTAAAATGGTTCTTCTTATTCAGAAAAACTTCACTCAGCCCTGAGCAAAAAATATTGCAATAAAACTTTACCATTGCCAAGCTGTGTGGTGGGGCGAATCAGGATTTTCAGCTTCTGTTTCTGACAGAAATTCCCAGAACTGAAGATGAATTCATGAAAGTGAATTGAACTGTTAGCACCACTGACTCATTAACACATGATAGAGTCAAATACTTACTACAGAGTATCTACTAATGAATAATAGAGGGAATAACCGATAGGCTTTAGACACATTTTTACAAGCTTTGTAAATTTATTCAACTAAACCATTTCTGTTTCATATATTTTTACCACCATTTGTGACACATTTTGGCAGATACTGTTTCAGGTTGTAGGGAATTAGTGTTTTCTCAGCTTCTTTGAAAATATTCTGGCCAGTAATTGCATGCAGACTCTTCATAGAGATTAATTCTTTGGTCACTTCAAACTTAGTATTGACTTCTGGAATAAACAGCTAATATCTGTAACAGTGTGAGCAGTACATGTTCATAACATCTGTCAACTCATCTGTCATCTCATCAAGAACTAAGGCAAATCATTCCCCTTGTTTGAAATTGACTTTTGATGTAACTCCAATGTCTTCAGTAGTCTGGGCATTGTTCTCACCAAAAGGCTACGAGTCTGAAGTTTATTTTCTCTGTAACCTCGGCCACTGCAATAAAATAATGGTGATTTAATTAACTCTGTTGATAAGTGGCTTTTCTTGCTTGGCTAACAAATGAGTCATATCAAAACTTAACTTTGGTTGCAACCTTACTTTATTTTATTTTATTTTTTGTGGAGAAATTCCATTATTATGAAATATTCTGTTTTAAATTTTCTCCTTTTTCTGGTTGTTGATTTCCTGTGAGTTAAGAGTATTGGCATGAGTGCTTAGTCTGATGTTGTCAACATATATTGAATTCTTTTAGGACAGCTTTAGTGCCACTGCATAAAAAGCGCATTGCTTTGCTATCTAATTCAATAACAGAATAATCCACATTCCGCTGTGCCTTAAGAGTTAGACATTTGAAGTCTATTTCTATCTTTTCTTGTTTTGACATGATAGATGTGCACTGGTAATAATAAAAGGTACGTGTCACTTCACGGTGATTCTCATGGCACTTTATGCTCTGTGAAGTTAAAAGTACATCACTGCAGTTTCTAGTGCATTGAGCAGCAGTAGGAGGCAGTGAGTGCCAAACTGTTTTGACTGTTTGACTCTGGTGTCATAACCTGAGAGCAGCCATAGACAATATGTAAATAAGTGAGTGTGGCTGTGTTTTAATAAACTTTATTTATGAACACTGAAATTTGGATTTCATATATTTTCATGTCACAAAAGGTATTATTTTCATTTTTTCTCCAACTGTTTAAAATAGCAAAAACCATTCATAGCTCATGAGCCTTGCAAAAATAGGTAAGATTTGGTCTATGGGCCTTAGTTTGCTGACTTCTGGTCTGGAATAAAAAAGAAAGAAAGACTGTCTTTACAAGAAATTGCCGGAAGTGTGGTGAATAACTGAACCAAAATTTGAAGAATTGAGTACACTATTTAGTTAAGACAGTTGGTGGCCAGAGAGAATACAGTCCACATGCATCTGGAGAAGTTGGGAGGTCAGAGTGGGAAAGGCATTGAAAGGAACTGAAAGATGGCTGTTGTGGTCAGAAGATAGTGAAGAGTGAAACCAGATAAATTTGAAGAGATAATCAAAGGCCAGAACATGCAGGACTGTATAGACATAGTAAGTGTATTTTACATGAACTTGTTCATAATCATTTTTTTCTTCTTGATTGCTTGCTGTTGCTTGAAAAGGCTACCTACACCTTCCTCAACTACTCAACCCTTATGAGGGATTTTATACATGTATATGTGTGTGTGTGTGTATGTATATATTTATATATGTTTTATCCACTGTAAATCTGCCAATTTGGAAAACCAGAAAAATTCCCATTATTTCTTAAGAAAAATTCCTACCATAGTGTTTTGATCATTCTATGACAATAATAAATAAAATTTATTTTTCTTTACAGACATCCTATGCTCAACTCCTTGCAGCAACATGTCTTTCAAAACTTGTTAGCAGAGTCAATCCTTTGCCAATTGAACAGAGAATAGATATCAGTAAGTGGTTTATTATGCTTTTTATCAAGTTGCACTCTAAAAATATTTTTCCCTTTTAGATTTGCTAAACTGTGAACAGGCATGCAAGTTATTTTATTATGTCACTTTTTAGAGCTAAGCGATCAAGTCTTTACATGTGTAGTGATGAATAATGATGTGTTACACAAAAATGTGTAGTCAAAAAAGCATTTGTTTAGTTTGATAATAATAACTAGTATTTTATTGTCTATACTATTTACTAAGATTTGTACTATCTCATTTTACCTACCCAACTTCAGAGGTGGGCACTATTATCCTCATTTTGTAAGTAAGGAAATCAAATCTGATAGGCCCTATAATTTGCCCAAGATCACATAGCCAGCAAGAAGTAGAGCTGTGATTCAAACTTAACACAATTTCTATGGAGTCCATGCTCTTAGTGATTGTCTTAATTTCATATACAACTGAATGATGAAAAAGAAGTCAGTTCTCCAGTATTTCTCAGGATGCTGTTATCAAAAGCACATGAGATGTGCACAGAATCAAAAGCAGATTCCTACTTACTAGGAAAATAATGTGTCTGTGGACAAACAGTGCTTGGAACTTAGTATAGTTGGAAAATTGATTCTGTGAAGTACCAACATGTTTTTCAGAAGTAATGTATTTTCTTTTTTTTTTAATTGAGTTATAGTCATTTTACAATGTTGTGTCAAATTCCAGTACAGAGCACAATTTTTCAGTTTTACATGAACGTACATGTATTCATTGTCACATTTTTTTTCGCTGTGTGCTACCGCAAGATCTTGTATATATTTCCCTGTGCTATACAGTATAATCTTGTTTATCTATTCTACATTTTGAAATCCCAGTCTGTCCCTTCCCACCCCTCGCCCCCTTGGCAACCTCAAGTTTGTATTCTATGTCTATGAGTGTTTCTGTTTTGTATTTATGTTCTTTTTTTTTAGATTCCACATATGAGCAATCTCATAGGGTATTTTTCTTTCTCTTTCTGGCTTAGTTCACTTAGAATGACGTTCTCCAGGAAGGTCCATGTTGCTGCAAATGGTGCTATGTTGTCAGTTTTTATGGCTGAATAGTATTCCATTTTATAAATATACCACAGCTTCTTTATCCAGTCATCTGTTGATGGACATTTAGGCTGTTTCCATGTCTTGGCTATTGTAAATAGTGCTGCTATGAACATTGGGGTCAGAAGTAATGTATTTTCAAAATTTGTGTGTGAGTTTGCTTTTCATATGGACAAAGCTCTAATAGTTGAGGTGGGATTTTTTTTGTTATCTTTGTTCATATTAGAAGTAGACTGTTGACTCATTTCTGTTCTCCAACCTCGAGGCTCACATGATTCATATTTGTGTAACAGAAAAGTTAAATAAGTATTATGGTGGTTCTTTAAGCTCAGTTTTTGAATGGCCAAATCACATAATGATTTGTCATTTGCTTCATATATTTGATATTTCTCTAACCATCCAAACAGAAAGGAACCTCCTCAACTTGATAAGGATCATCTACAAAAAAAAACTATGACACTGAAGAAAACCTAGAGGAGGATTTATCCATGCTCTTATGAACTTGTGTGCATAAGAAAGCAAAAGAGAAATTTACAATTTTAAAAATAAAGATTCAATATTATAAATCTGCAATAAAATATTGTGATTTTGTTTATTTGGCCTTTATATACACATATATTTTAAATAGACTTTATTTTTTTAGAGCACTTTTAGATTCACACAGCAAGAATGAGCAAAATGTACAGAGAATTCCCCTATGGCCTCTGCCCCAACACAAGTATATCCTCTTCCATTGTTAGCATCCTGCACCAGAGAGGGTACGTTTGTTACAACTGATGAACGTACAGTGACACATCATTACCACCCAAAGTCCATAGTTTACATTAGTGTTCACTCTTGGTGTTGTGCATTCTCTAGATTTGGATTAGTGTGCAATGACACATATCCCCCATTATAGTATTATGTGGAACAGTCCCACTGCCCTAAAAAGCCTGTGTTCTCTGGTTATTCATCCTTCTCTCCCCTCTAATCTCTGGCTACCATTCATCTTTTTACTGCTTCTATAGTTTTGCCTTTCCCAGAATGTTATGTAGTTGGAATTATACACTGTATAGCCGTTTCCCATTGGCTTCTTTTACTTAGTAATATGCATTTAAGGTTGTCCATGTCTTTTCATGGCTTGGTAGGTAATTTCTTTTTAGCGCTGACTGGTTTGCCATTGTCTGCTTGTACCACAGTTTCCTTTGTGAGTTTCTTGGGTTTGGCTTACTACTCTTGCATCTGCAAGTAGATTAGAATGTTCCGCCATGTCTGTCTGACATGTGTCAATAAATAGTTGGCATGTCAGTTAAAATGGAAAATGTGAAGATTGCCTCAACAGTCACATTGTCTTTATTACATCAACTCCAAAATTCTCATTCTTTCATGATACAGTCCCAGACTACATACCTCATTATTTCCCAGCCTTAACTCTATTGCCTGAACTCTGTGTTCAGCACACTATTTTCTACTTTTATTAATATAATTAACAATGACTTACTATTACTTATCAGTCAAATACCATTTCCTCAGCTTAGCATTCAAGTCCGTTCATGAGCTTGTAATGTCATCCTTATAGCCTTATATCTTCATTGGCACTAGCCTGTTAGTTGTACCAGAAGGTTTTTCCCTTATGCCGTGTTATTTCTGCCTTGGTGCTTTTTCTTATGTTGTTTCTTTAGCCTGAAATGTTATCCTTTTAATTGTCTATTCAAATACAAGTGTAGCTTAAGTTTAATTACCTATATAAATCAACCAGTTCTCCTTCTCTTCCTCCCACGCTTCCTCCACCTTCCTACCATCCCTGCTATGTCTTTCTTTCCTTCTTAACTTCCTTTCAAACAGCTTTATTGAGGTACAATTTATATACCATATATAGTTTTAAGTGTACAGTATTTGATTTTTCGTAAATTTACAGAGTTGTGTGAATATCATTACAATTCAGTGTTAGAACATTTCCATCACCCCCCAGAATTTCCATGCTCATTTACAGTCAGTCCTGCTCCCATACCACCTGCCTCTAAGATACTCTCTGCCTCTGTAGATTGACCTTTTGTGGATATTTCATATACATAAAATCATACTGTGTTTGGTATTTTTGCATCTAGCTTCTTTCACTTAGCAAAATGTTTTTGAGGTTTATCCATGATGTAGCATGTGTCAGTGTTTTATTCTTATTTATTATAGAATAATATTCCTTTATATAGATAAATGACTTTTTGTTATCCATTCACAACTTGATGGGCATGGGTTGTTTTTGCTTTTTGACCACTGAATAATGCTACAATGAACATTGACTTACAGATCTTTGTGTGGACATATGTTTTCATTTCTCTGGACTAGATTCCGAACAAGTGGAATTGCTGGGTCATGAGTAAGTTTATGCTTAACTTCTAAGGAAATTGCCAAACTGTGTTTCATAGTGCTTGTACCATTTTGCATTCCCACTAGCAATGTGTGAAGGTTTCAATTTCTCCTCATAAGTCTTATCTTAATCTTCTTACAGTAGGTTATTTTTTTTTCTGTCCTATATATTCTTTCTCTCCAAATATTTCATAAGCTAGCTCCCTAGGCGTAGATTATAGCTCAAATTTTTGTGTTCATAGCATTTGAAGTTGTTTCCATCAAAGCATTTGTAGTTAAATATTAAGGTATTTACCTTCTCTTTACTTTTTTCCTAAATAACATGGTAGCCTTTGAGAGCAAAGTAAAAAGTGAATCTTTCCTTTTTCTTTTATATTCTTTTTGTACGTTTTCTGATAGACTTTGTGGCATATTTTTTACTTGACTTCAATTAGTCAAAAAGTATTTCATATTAAATTTCCATAATGTGTAATGCCTAAAGTGTTATTCTAATGAGAATAAACTACAAAAGATTGTCTACAAGTTTGGACTTAGAAGAGTTTTGAATTACTAATTATTATTAAAATGTATGGTTTGGCCAGTATTTGGAAGCAGCAAACAAAAACTCCAAATAAACCAAGACAACCTGACTCAGGGTCCCAGTTTGGCCAGTTTGACAAATTGAACTTCGTATTCTTTTCTCTAAGAAACAATAATAGTAGTAGTAATATAATAGCAATGTCTTCATATTGTTGTGAGAGCTACATGAGTTTTTTTCTGGGAAGCAGTTCTATTTTCTAACTTGTTTGATAAATGCTAAACATTGTTGTTTTTAGGCATATAGGCATTTTTGACACTCAAAGAGCCTCTAGTATATAGCTTTTCAACTTTCTATTACCTTTTGTCTGGGAATTTTTCCCACTTACTTTACTTCATTCTCCCTTGTGTCTTTCTGAACATTTCATTTTCTCCTTGGCATGGCTTTTCCTTGTTATCTTGGGCTAGTGGTGATGAGATTGCTGTTGTTTTACTTTTCATAATTGGCACTTGTTTACTAAAGTGGAACAGTATTATAGGTCTTGCGGTAAGCATAATGTGAGATTATTTTATGTAAAACATTCAACTAAAATAACAAAAATATAGTCTAGTAAATTTTTTCTTTTTTGCCTTACATAATAAACTTATTAGCTAGTACCTTTGCTCAGGCAGTTTGGGAAGGTGTGCTCTTTGGTACCTAACTTAGATGTGAAGCATGGTTTGTCTCCTATTTGATCATCTTATTATTTTGAAATTACCCTCCTAGAGGTTACTACTGCCCACATATGGATTCCTCACATCCCCTCCAGGTTAAAAATTTTCAAGATATTAAAAATAAAAGTAATAGAAGTAAATCCGATTTTCTTTTATATTCAGGAGGCACTGTCATTTTCTTAAGTTTTGTTAATTGAAATAAAAGATTACATGTATTGAAGGAGAACCATATTACTGTAAGCCAAAGGAGAGACTTCTTTTAGATTTCTCCTAATGCTAGGAAAATCTGTGCTTTTTCATCTTACTTCTTAATTTATGTCACTGTGTAATTTTGATGTTAATAAAAGTTAATGTTGAAATATGCTAGTCACGAGAACTTTTTTTTATGTGAAGGTTCTCACTACAGTTGTCAAGAACAGCTGTTGAAAGTGTTGTTGGATTTTGGAGTTGTTTCCATTAAAGCTATTTTTAGTTAAGTATTGAAGTATTTACTTTTTCTTTACTCTTTTCCCAAATGGCATGCTGGCCTTTGGGGCCAAAGTAGAAAGAGAATCTTACCTTTTTTCTTCTTACATTTTTCTAATAGACTTTGTGGCGTATTTGTTACCTCAGTTACTGAGTCCCCTGGTAGCTCACAGCAGAATTTGCTACCCACTTGTAGTGATTTTGGTATATTTATTCCAGGCTTTACTTTACTATTCCTGTTCATACTTTCTTTAATTTATGTATTTATTTTATCGTATTATACTGTTTATATTTTTTCTGCCAGTTAAACCAGGGTAGTGTGTAGTCAGTTTGGCTAGAATATGACATGCATTCCTAAAAGTCTGCTATGCAGTGTTATAAAGTAAAACCACAGAGCTTATTAGAGAAATGGGATTATGGAAATATAATATTTTAAAAAGATAGACATCTTATAAAAAGCATAGTAGAGTTTTATACATGTTAAATGATTAAGAAATACTAAATGGTAGAATAAATATGACATTATATCTTGAAGAAGACCTGAAGGTTGGTTGTAGAAATGGACTTCCTAAGGGTTGCATTTTGTGAGTTATCAGTAAGTGGTGGGAGGAAGGTGATCTGAAAAAGGATGGAAAAAAACCACCAGAAAGCATGGGTGCGGCTGATAACACATGAGATGAACTGAGATAGCTAGTAGATCTTTGAGGTTTATGCATTTTGAGTATGGCTTGGTTCGTTTGGCTTGGTTGCAGTTTTCTGTATTAACTAGGGTTTTTTCCTACATGAAATTATGCAAAAGCAAACATGGCATTCACACTATACTCACATTTTCTCCTGATGTCAATTGAATTGAAACAAATTTGCTTTTTCAAAGTAAGCCTTATAGGAAAACTGACTATGTAAATAAGTACATATGTTAGGAAAAGGGGTTAACTTTGTCAAATAACGTGTCATCACTACTTGTTTTCACATGATTCACATTATGTTACTGAAAAGTCCAAATGATCACAGAATATTTTTTTTCACAGGAAACTACATTCTTAATTATGTGGCATCACAACCCAAGCTGGCTCCTTTTGTCATCCAAGCTCTAATTCAAGTCATCGCTAAAATCACTAAATTGGGGTGGTTTGAGGTTCAGAAAGACCAGTTTGTCTTCAGAGAAATTATTGCTGATGTGAAGAAGTTTCTTCAGGTAAGAAGATGTTATTACATTATAAGAACATCACTAGTTGCTTTTTTTGGTTTAGAAAACTGCTTTTCTTAAAGCTATATGGCTGTTTTTGTGACTACCAGTTCCATATTAATTATGATTTATTGTTTACCCTCTGGATCCTGTGTTTTTTATTGCCAGGAAAAGAGGATCATGTCATATAACTTCCAAGGCAGAAGAATCAAATTATAATGTTTTCTAATTTCAAAAACATACGTTCTGTCATTTCTAACCTTGTGTATCTGTGTACTGCATATATGCAAAACATATATATGTTTTTCATGTATTATCTAATTTAATGTTCATTACACCTCTGAAGGGGATTTCATTTTGTAAATGAGAAAACTGAGGCTTAGAAAAGTTAACTAATTCACATGTTTGCATAGTGACCTAGTAAAGCCAAGCGCTAGTACTTCAATAGGTTTTCTAACTTAAGATATATATTTTAAAAATGTTCACATTATATCAGATTGAGTCATACTAGCTCCTTAAGAATGTTTTTAACCTAAGTGATTAAAGTTACAGCATATGCACATTTAAGTTACACAAATTCAGGTATTTGAACTGAAAAAAAAAAAAGGAAAGGAAAGAAGAAAGAAAAAAGAAAAGCAGGAGGACACGCCTTTAAATTGTGCCAATGATTCCACTTGTATTTCACATTCTGGGGTGAGATACGGGAAACTGAAATCTGCCCTTTTCTGTTCCTGCATGACCACCATGCCCTGTATAGTATGAATCAGATATTTAAAGATACGTATTTTTTTCGTACAAATGTTATCCCTAATTGTAAGGAAAGTACTTACCTGGTGCTCTGCTGAAGAAGCAATGACCTGTTACAATTTTCAGGGGAAAACTGGCAGTTTGTATTATTTGAGAGATGGTTCAGTGTCGATTTACTGGCAGTTTGGGGTAATCTGCACTTTCTCAGATTTTATTGCTTATACAGTAACTTTAAAATTTAATCCCTGTGTAAGATGTAACTCCATCATATAGTGTAATGCTTGAAATCTCAGAATATGAAATATCAGACTGTATTGCTTTTTTATTCATATTAAAATCCTGGTTAACAAATATTGGATCATCTAAAACTACAGAATAAGTGTATTTTTATCCCTGAGGGGATCTGCTCTGGGGCAGAGGGATAGTTTATTCGGTAACAGATGAGTTTTTCACCTTAGACTCGTACATATAATTTAGACTAACACAGTAGCACCCCTCTCTTGTCGTTTACTAAGATCACACACAGCTTATCAAGAATCACTCGCATAGATAAGAATGGACTTCAGAGTTCTTTTAAAATAAAATCAAAGTTGAAAACTAAATGGAATGAAATCATTCTTATTGGCTGACATTTCTCAAGCTCCCTTTTCAGTGGCTGCTAAGTTGAACTTAATTTGGGCTTTAGTGTGTTTTTGTCAGCTGTGGAATATCAGAAGAAACTGAATGTTTTATCTTCAAAGTTTATTACAGTATCACACGACAAAAACACTTGCTTTCTGGGCATATGACTTAACCAAATCTTGAGTCATGAGAAAGACAGTAGTCTTAGTGTTATAATACCCTAAAATAGTACCACATGGTTCCTTTGGATATTAGCAGCTTTTGTGAATTTAGTACTAAAAATTATTTTAAGTTTGTTAAATTTTTAATGGCCTGAAGTTTTGTATATTTTCTTTTCTCTGTTATTTTAACCTATTGCTGCTATACTCCTAACATTTTCGTGCCTCCTTTCTACATATATACCCAGGGGATCTTACTGTCATCTACGGCAGTGCTGTTGAAATTGCTGGTCCACAGCAAGATAAGGAATTCATGTCAGAATGTAAATCAATGCATTGCTTCCCTTATCGAGAAAGACTTACTATAAAGAAAATGCAGCTGAACTAAATAGTGTACCTAGTTGTTTTATATTCTGGTACAAACTCTTCTGTCTTGCTATGGGTCGGTACCAAACCATTCTTGCATTAAAATTGAGTTTGTAGACCACCAGCAGATTCACGGACCAACAGTTGGTCAGAGAACCACACTTTAAGGAGCATTGGCCTGATGTACACAGAGCATGAATGCTTCAGTAATATGAAATCTATAGTTTAGTTCATAGAATTCAGATTGTGCTGAAGGGCCATAAAGAATTAAAATGGAAAAAATATGGATCTTTCTTTTTTTTTTTTATTCTGAGGTAATTTGAATTTGATTTCACCTAGTGACCCAGTGTTAGTGGAATTCTGTGATAGTAAGGAGTGACCAGCTGTAAAATTAAGACTTGAAAACTGTATCATCTGTGTTAGTGCTTTTTAAAAATTATTACAGTTACACTTACTATTTTCATACTTCCAGTGTGATTTTACAGTAAGGTAATTTGTTAGTAATGTGTATATGAAATCTGAATTTTGATTTAAAGGAAGATTTTGAGAGACTAAATTAGAAGCTGACTAAATTAAAACCATTATACCATATTGATAGTCATGTATTTATCTACTGCACTGGACACTTCAGTGCCTTCATTATAGATACATAATAAATGCATACACATGCACCATTAAATAGTATTAAAAGGACCTAAACGATCTTATCTGATATTAGATCAAGAGATTAAAATGAGTTCTTAAGCTATTTTTTATTTATTGAATACATCTATCTCAGTAGCCTTCGAGCAAATTTATAGACCTAAAAAATGTTTTTTGTTCATTCTTATTCATGGTCTTTTTGTAAAAAGTGTTAGCTAAACTGCTGTATTTTGAGGCTTAGTTAATTGCAAGTCCTGTGTGCTGAAAACGTTTTGTAGACTATCATGCAGTTCTAAGGTAGGTAAGCTTTTTTTCCCATTCAACTCTGTATATCTAAATTTATCCTTCAAAAGATGAAATTATTATTTGTGGACTTTATAGTGCTTTTTCTATATGTTTTAATAGACCTGTTTTAAGAAAATATGATGTTTCAGTATTTAATTACTTGTAAATATTATCTGATATACACATTAAGAACCAATCATATATCTTCACTTAGGCTAAATTTGGTTATTTTCTCCAAAGGGCACTGTGGAACACTGCATAATAGGAGTAATCATCCTCTCCGAATTGACTCAGGAAATGAACCTGGTAAGCCTTTTTGTCTGCTGGTGACATGAAATTTGCCAAGTAATGCTGTTTCTTTAATGTAAAATCTTTGTGTGACATAAAACTCTGAAAAATCAAATTTTTTTTTTGGTGGGATGATTAAGTATTGGAACACTTTCATTGTTATTAAAAATAATAGCAGTGATATCAAGTACTACAAAGAAAGGGGACTAGACAAGGTCCTTGCTCCATGGAATTGGAGAATTTTCCTTTTATCTTCTGTGTGTACAATAATATACTAACCAGAAGAAATAACTTATATGTCAAAAAGATACAAACCCTTATTCACTTGCAGATGGAAGCCAAGCAGTTTGGTTGAATTGACTCTCAGTAATGAATACACAATAGGACTCATCAAAAACAAGCTACTTGACATTCTGTCACTTGGCAGCATGGGTTTTCACCTGTACAAGGAGGGTTTGCAGAAGCTACGCCTCCCCCTAGCAGTGCCGTTATAAGCTCGGCAGCTGAGCACATCCTCATCTTTTCCTGTTCACTTTTGTGTTTAACGTGGTTCTTAACAGAGCAAGAGCAGAAGTTGGGTTCTATGTGGAATGTTATAATAAATGGGAGTGTAGTGCTTATATTCAAGAACTTTTATCATCTTTTTTAAAATTGAAGTACAGTTGGCATACAATATTGTATTCCTTTCAGGTGTACAACACAGTGAGTTGACATTTACATACCTATGAATTGATCACAATGTAAATCTAGTAACCATCTGTCACCATACAGAGTTATTAAAATATTATCAACTATATTCCCTATAGTATAATTATGTAACTGGGACTTAGTTTATAACTAGAAGTTTGTGCCTCTTAATCCCCTTCACCTGTTGCTTCCAACCCCCTTCTCTCCCCTCTGGCAACCACCAGTTTGTTCTCTGTATCTGTGAGTCTTTCTGTTTGTTTTGTTTTTCAGATCCCACATATAAGTGAAGTACAGTGTTTGTCTTTCTCTGTCTGACTTATTTCATTTAGCATAATACCCTCTAGGTCCATCCATGTTACCTCAAATGGCATGATTTTATTCTTTTTAAATGGCTAAGTAATATTCCATTGTGTATATATACACTGCATATTCTTTAATCATTGATCTGTTGATGGACACTTAGGTAGCTTCCTATCTTGGCTGTTGTAATTAATGCTGCAGTGAACGTAGGGGTGCATTTATCTTTTTGAGTTACTGTTTTTTTTCCTTTGGATAAATACCCGGAAGTGGAATTGCTGGATCATAGGGGTATCAGTGCCTGCTGAGGTTGCTGCTCTGGTGGGATAGGATGAGAATTGCTCCGGAGAAGTTGGCCAGGATGAGCAGATGGGGCAGGATAGTGGAATGCTGTGGCAGGGTGCAGTGTTAGCCAGGTTGATTGAGATCAACAGAAATGGTGCTCTCCAGTGCTGGGTCAGCTAAGTGGAAGAGGAGTTTTAAAAGAGGCACCCATCAGCACTTCTGTCCCTGGATAAAGTTTTGCTAGATTCCTGGTTCACTGGCACCCACCTTAAGGTTAGTCAGTGAGTGTCCTTATTGTATGATTCAGGTTCTTTTTAAGCTATTGCCTCTGCACTAGGACTTGGAATGAGTGAGCAGAGTATTGGTTACCCACAGACCCCTGGCTCTCCTAGACATCAACCCAGCTGATTTTGAAAGGCAGCTATTATTGGAGCCCATCTTCCCAGTGCAGTTCCTCCAGCTGGGGAGCCTGACCTGGGACTCGGACTCCTCGCTCCTGGGGTAGGAGGGATTTCTCCAGTTATGATATTCCTTCCACTTGTGGGTCACTGCACGAAGGTTGTAGGTTCTGACTAGGCCACGGCTCTGCCCCTCCTGCCTATCTTGATGTGGGCTTTTCTTTATATCCTTACTGGTAGAAAATCTGTTCTGCTAGCTTCAGGTCGTTCTCAGAGATAATTGTATGTATAGTTGTAGTTTGGTGCATCCATAGGAGGAGATAAGCTTATCATCTTCCTACTTAGCTCTCTTGATCCAGACTTTCTTACTAGACTTTACTTTTCACCTTGAATGCTGTGTGTGTATGTGTGTGTGTAAATATACATATACACACATACATATATGTATAAATGTATGTAGGGAGAGCTTGCATACCCAGGACCACTTGCCAACTCTGTTTGAAGTGACAATATAGTTTCTGTGCATTAAAAAAAATATTACCCGAAAATAACTTTTTTTATTTGTGTTCAATCAGAAATTCGAAAATATTTCCAGATTATTGGAAAGATTTCTCAAATTTAAAATTCTCTCTTAATTTACCAGAACTCTGCCCTAGAGTGTGTAAAGATTTCTTGCCTTTTATATATATATGTTAGTATGTCACAAGAAGGACATATAGGTATGGATGGATGGATGTATATTCAGAACTAGTAATAGTAGTCCCTGGAACAGAGTTACTGTGTTGGCCGGGATGTCACGACAAAAACTTTGGGTAATTCTATTAAGCTCTGTAAATACGTTTAAAGAAGTATAGCTTTCTTCTTTGCAAAAATATATTTTAAAATAATTTTAGAATGAATATTTCCTCTCATAAAAGTGGTATAAGAACCTCATGTACCAGTCATCCAACTTACACAACCATCAACTTTTTGCTAATCTTAAAACTAGCATTTTTTTTTCCTTTTTCTACTTTATAGCATAATAGTATAAAGACTGCCCTGGTAGTGAGGGTTTGCTGTGTTTTAGTTGTTACTGAGACTAGACTGGGTAATACGGAATTTTAATAAAAGTGTGATTTTATTATAGAGCAACCAAGTTTTTTTTAATTGACTGCCTTAAACTTATAGAAAATTTGTGAATACAATAGAAAGATGTATTTTTCTCAACCGTTTGATAAATTGCCAACATGATCCCAGAATACTTCAGTATATGACCTACATATAAAGACATTCTCCTGCATAACCACAATATAATCAATAAAATCAGATTTATATGTCTAGTTAGTATGATTAACACTGACATTACTGTTATCTTCATACTCAATTCAAATTTACCTGGAAACTCGAACCAGTTATCCCGGAAAGGAACCAGTTTAGAATCATGCAACTCTTTTTTTTTTTTTCCTACACATTTTATTAGTCTCCATCAATCTGAAAAAATTCCTAAATCTTTTCTTCACTTTCTTAAACTTGACACTTGAGACAACTACAGGCCAATTGTTTTGTAAAATGTACCTCATTTTGGGATTATCTGATGTTTCCTCATTATTAAATTCAGATTATGCATATTTGTCAGGAATATCACAGAAATGACTGTGATCTTCTCATTGGCTCCCCTCAGGAAGCACATGATTTGACGTGTAACATTACTAATGATGTTCACTTTGGTCACTTGACTAAGATGGTTTCTACCAGGCTTCTCCAGTTGTAGATTTATTCTTTTCCACTTTGTAAATAAATATTTTGTGAGGAGGTACTTTAAAACTCTGAAAATACCTCATTCCTCATCAAACTTTAAATTTATTCGTTTATTACTTATATCAGTATGGGTTCCTGGTTTCCTACTTTATTTAATATGTTATAGGTTGTTACTAACGTTATATTTTGATGCTTACATTTTCCCAAATTTGACCAGTAGGAACGCTTTCAAGCTAGGATCTCTGTTCATTTGACATTTACTCACCAATGTTTGAACGTTTTCTTACTTTCTGTCACAAGGTGTTCCAGGCTTATCATGTGTAGAACCAAGTGCCTTTTGAAAAAAGCTTCAAGATCTAAAGTGTGATTTTGGCTTTATATGATAAAAAATACATGGTTTCTGTGGAGACATTTTACTTAGCCTAATTTTATAGCATTAACGATTTCAACTAACATTTCTTAAGTACTTCTGAACCAGAAAGTAGGGATTTCTATAAAGCATAATGAAAAAGCAAATATCACAGTTGTCAAATTTGAGCCAGATAAATTCCCATCAATAACAGGATGTATCTTTTAAGAAAAAGATCTAAACTTGAGGTTTCCTAAAAGTTGAGAATTATATGTTACCTTATTTTTTTTTTAAGCTAAGGCTACTTACTGTTCCTGGAGTATATTCAATGTATAATCATCAAGAAGTAAAATATTCTTTGCCTACAGTTTTGAGTCATAGTTTTACAGTGGAAAAGATGATGCATTCCTCTCCTCAAAATATTGGATATCTAAATGAGTGACCCAAGTAAAATAAGTACGTAGGACTTGACAGTAACTCTGAAATAAGACCCGGATTTGTGTTTTAGCTCTATTGCCTACTACTTTATATAACCTTCTTAATGTCTTTAAACTTACGTGTCACTCTCTGTAAAGTAAGAATGGCACTTTCCATGGATCTTACTAAGATTAGGTTAGTTACCAGCACAGGTTCTGGTACATACAAATGCTCAGTATACCCAAGATTCTTCTCTCAGTGGTATGAGTATGGTGTGCCTGTAAATTTTAATTTTCTCATATGTGAGAAGAGAATAATACGTATCTCATAGGTAAGTTTTGAAGATTAGGGAAATAATACGTGAATAGTACGTAAGTTGAAATTGTAATGCTGTAATGCTATTATTAATTTATATTAGGAGAAATCTTTTTTTTTTTATGTATTGAGGGAGAATGAAGGCACAGACCAATTGAAGAAGAATTGGGTGTTTGATGTAAAAGAAGGGAAGAATGCTGGAAATGTTCATTCGAATCTTACATATTGGATAGAGATTCCAGTGACTACTTTGTATAATCACTATGGTCTTCTGTTATGTTTCATATTTCTATAAGTAAATGTGGCATTTAGGTATAGACCAAATTGTATGATGGAGCTTAGGAAGTATCAGGTACTCAATTTTGAGCTCACTACTTTTTTCAAATATGTAAACATCAGCAAGGAAAACGGTTTATTTTCATCTTCCACATAGCAAAAGGAATGCTACAACAACTGTAGCCTGTGGTATTGATAATTGGGTATCAGATTTCAGGTTTGTTTGCCATTTCCTAATGATAAATGGAAATATTATTGATATTAATAGCATAGTTTTTATCATACTATATTTTAGATTAGAGGCTCAAGACCTGGTCTTAATAAACTTATTCTTAAAAATTATTTATTAACTAATAAAACATTCAGAGGGAATATACTGTTGCTTATGTAATAAGTCAAATTTCTGATTATTTATAATTTCTGCCTTGGTTTTTTTTTAGAACCAAAATATATGAATCAATCACATATCTGGTGTATATTGGAATATGTATATTTCTATATCATTATTTCATTCCTATTCTTATATAATAAATATAATTCTTCTATAACTGATTCAGTTTGCTGATTTACAGAAAGTTAGAATTTGAAGATTATCTTAGAGATTTCTCAAAGGTAGAGTCTGAGGAACAGGGAAGTTATTACTTGCCTAATGTGAAATATGGTACATGGTTTAGGAGTTAATAGTATGTATTGTTTTATAATCTATGTTTACATTGCCTCTGAAAGTATGATCATTTCTGATTTTTAATTTTGGGATCAGTATAAGTTTGTAGAAAGAGCACTGAATTAAAACAGTCCGGAAACTTGGGTTCTAACTGCGGCTCTGCTGTTATTAGTTCTTTGATTAACCTTAAACAAGTCATTTATCCTAGTAGATTTTGAAAAGCTCTTTTAACTATATATTTTATGATTCTTTAATCATTATTTTCATTCCTATTCTTACATAGTAAACTTTTGCTTTGGTGTTTGGTAAGTCTGGTTAAATAAAGTTGTCTTGATCTTTTTAGGTTGATTATTCTAGACCTTCAGCAAAACACAGGAAAATAGCTACCTCATTCCGTGACACTTCTCTCAAAGATATTTTAGTTTTAGCATGCTCTCTTCTAAAAGAGGTAAGTTACTGAATAACTCAGTATCATAGTTAGAGTATTTGGGAAGTTTTAAGTTTGAAAAGAATTTCAGGTGAATCTCCCTGTTCCCAATTCTGCATTTTGAAGAGTTATTTTGGACAATTTTGATTTAATTCCAGTAGACTTGCACAAATTATAAAAGGTTCCAAAGAATTCACTTTTACTTAATACGGATATAACAAAGTAGAATCTAAAGGGAATTTGGTAACTTTCTTTGTATAGTAGTTTCATTGTTTTCCTACTGCAAATTACTTATTGCAGAAGCTGATTGAGATTTAGTTTCTTTATTGCCCTGCCCATATTTAATGGGGTGCAGATGTACAATGAAATAATACTGAGTTTTTCTAATTCATCATTTATCAATTTTTTTTATAGTTGATCCAAGATAGTTTACTTTAATACTTTCTTTAGGAAGTAATATTTTCCCATTTGCTACTTAGTTCCTTCTTGAATATTAGGGATAGTATGATTCATAATTGTATTGTGTTCTCTTGTAATATAGGGACTCCATCATGCTGCTCAAGCTTGTCAATTGGGGTAGTACAGCATTTCCCAAAGTATGTTCCACTAGTCATTAGTTTCTCCTTATTTCAGTTCTATGATATAGTATGGTAACTGTCACACTAGGCCAGACTGAAAGTTCCTTTGTTATTTTAATTTTTTTCTTTTAGTATGGAAAATTTTAATACATACACAAAAAGTTGGAATAGTATAATGAACTCCCTTGGACCCATCAACCATTTAAGCATTAACAACTTAATGACCAGTTTTGTGTCATCTCTATCCTTAACTAACCACTTTATTTCTTTCTGTGTTATTCTTAAACCACAATCCCAAACTTCATATCATTTCCTCCACATATATTTCCACAATGTATCCCTTGGAGATAAAATGTATTCTGGTTGTGTCAGAATAAACATTTTGAGGGAGTCAGGATTGTTCTTCGGATTCTTGTGAGCGTCCTCACACATTCAGACAGCATTGAGAATCTTTGTTAGCTGAATGTGGGTGAAGCTCCTTTATTTTTTTTCTGAAGAATATTATATTTTCAGCTTGTTCAAGTTGCTTCTTTGAACTAATGAATCCTATACATTTATGCATTTGTGCTGTGTAAGGTATTTGTCCTAACGTGACTTCGTACAACTTTAGAAGATGACCTACAATATGCAGTTAAATCTGAAAGTTTTTATTCTCATTTTACAAGATTAAATTTGAAAACAGTCTATTACTGTTGATAGTGATGCTACTGTTTTTTCTAATATATATGGTAACATAACTGCAAATTCTTTTTTTTTACTAATTTTAATTTGGCACTGAAGAATTGTTTAAATTAGTTGAGTAATACAATTCTAATTGCCATATTTCATAATGTTTTATTTGACTTTGAACCTTTTTTAGGTGTTGGCTAAACCTTTAAATCTTCAGGATCAAGGTCAACAAAGTCTAGTAATGCAAGTGTTGAAACTGGTCCTCAGCTGCCTGAGCTTTGACTTCATTGGCAGTTCAGCAGATGAATCTGCAGATGACCTCTGCACAGTACAGATTCCAACAACTTGGAGAACAAGTAAGAAAAAAGTTGAGTTTGAGAGCTGGTCGGCATAAAAGGACACAGAATTAAGCAATATAGTTATCTTTATTTTTTTACTAGGCACTCAAAAAGTTCAGAAAAATTTGTGACCCAAAGTAGCTGCTGATATCCAATATTGAAATCTTTTCCCCACTTTATATCATAGTAACTTCTATATTTTGATTTTGCTGAAAAAAGAAAAGAGCTCTGGAGCTGGAGGAAAACAAGTTTAGGGAGGAAAATGAAGAGTTTTGTTTTGAAATTTTCAGTTAAACAGAGTGGGAGAGGATATAACACTTGGCAGGAGATACTAACATATTTTTCAAAGTTAAAGAGGATGAATTAGAATAGCTAACTTAGCAGAGCAGAATTGCAATTTACTTTCTTATGGAGAGGGATACCAAAAAAAAAACCAAACTCTTTTGCTGAAAGATGATGGCAGTGGGGTTTTCCTGAAGTTAGACATGGGCAGTGGCGCTAGAAAGACTTTGGTAAAAAGTCTATATTCTGCACCCATTCCCTCGGGGTTTTCTCTGCTACCTGTACAGCTCTGTGGTGGCCTTTTCCTCTTTCTTACCCATATGCACTTCCCTCCTGACTCCCAAGACCAGAGCTTTTTTCCCTTGGGAAATTAAATTGAAAGTTTTCAGGTATCAGATACAGTAGAGAAACACACACACACACACACACACACCTGGAAGAGCCGAATAAGATTGATGGATTGTATCCATGTGCTTTCTTGATTGTGCCTTAGTTTTGCAAGAACTTACCATTGCAAGAAACTGGGTCAACAATACGTGGGATCTCTCTATTATTTCTTGCAACTGCATATGAATCTGTAATTATCTCAAGAAACTTTTTTTTTAAAAAGGGAGAGTTAGTAGAAAGAGAGACAAAGTGAAGAATAGAAGTAAATTTCAAAAAGGTATAATTAATATCCTTAAAAAGATAAAAAAATGGTCTTTCCTGAAACACAAATAGGATATTGTTTCAAAAACAAAAGTTCAGAGAATATTCCAAATGTAAAAGACGGTTGCCAAAATAAAAGTCAGTAAAAGAGTTGGAAGATAAAGTTAAGGAAATATCCTAGAAAGTCGAACAAAAGAAGTAAGAGAGATTTGATAGGACAAAAAAAATACAAGAATATTAGTGTATGAAACTAAGTGGCTTGTCATCTAACTGATAGAAGTTCAAGAAAGAGAGGACAGAGAAAATAGAAGGAAATTTGTAAATAATACCAAAAAACGTTCTCAGCACTGAGACACACAAATTTTCAGTTTGAAAGATTCCATAAGTACCCAGCATAATGAATGCAAAAAAAAAAATAATAATACACTAAGCTTCCTAACAGGACATTTCAAAATAACAAGGATGGAGAGAAGATCCTAAAATCTACCAGAAGGAAAGTCACCTATGAAGGATCAGGATCAGGAATGTTATTAGACTTCTGAATAGTAGCACTGGAAGCTAGAGGACTGTGGAGTAATGTCCCCAGACTTCTGCAGGAAAATTATTTTCAAACTAGACTGCAATCATCAAGTATATGAGAATAAATATATGTTTAGACATGCAGATCCTGCTGGAATTTATCCTTTATGTGCTTGATGTCAGGAAGCTACCTGATTTACAAGCCAAGAAAATAGAAGATACGGGGTTTGGGAAAGGGGAGCTTCAACACAAGATGACAATAAACAGACGTAAAAAGCAGATAATTATGTAGCAAATTTAGGAACAGCCAGTCCAAAAGTTGAAGAAGGCTTTGAGAGGTAGCAGTGGGAAAATGGAAATGATAGGTTATTTGATGCTATTGATTATGTGGGAAATGACATGAAGAGCATTTTGCAAATCTGTGAAAGCATCTCGAAAGAATTAGTGACATCCCTATCTGCACAACTAAGCACAGAAAAGATGCTATAATTAAATCTAGGGAGTGTTAAAAATGTGGTATAATCATAGTACACTCCTTGGCTCAGCTGTTACATTATTTGCTATAGGTAATGTTAGAATTGATTTAATCCCAAATTGTTATTATTCTGATTGGATTTTTGAGAGAGGGTGGAATATGGGAAGAGTGGTAGAAGTGGAGGGATGAGTGATTAGACAGCTAAAGCCTCACTGTAACAGGAATACATTTGAGGTCTAAAGTAAAATAATCAAAGAAATAGCAATGTAGCATGTTACTTGGAAATATATGTAAATATAGTTGAGTTGAAAGTTAGTTGGAATGGTGTAGTGCAGCTGTTCTTTACTGTATATTTTTTAGTACTGTTTACTTTTTGGTATTATTTGAATGTTTAAATGTTTTTATTACTTTAATATAAATGAAAATAGTGAGTTTCTCTCAGAGCTGTAGATGCTACATACAAATATGAAACATCTTAGCTATTTGATTTCTATCTCTGTATTATTTCATTTTTCAAAGAAGATAGCTAGAAATTAAAAAGAAATTAAGCCTAACTGGGAAGAGTGGCCACATGCAGAGGTCTTGAAGTTCCTGGTTTGTATGATAATGTCTTACTATGTTAAGGTCATTGAATTAGAAGTAACGGTATTAGTTTTTTTTGTTTTGTTTTGTTTTTTTCAGTTTTCCTGGAACCAGAAACATTGGATCTTTTCTTTAATTTGTATCATTCACTTCCACCACTGTTATCTCAGTTAGTAAGTAAAACTCATTATTTCATTAACTAGTACCTGTGATATTTATCTAAGAGTGGTACATATTTACTTTAAAAAATTCAATGTATTCTTGATTGGTTTTACCTTTCACAAGAAATTCTTACATCATCTGGGATTTATATTACTTAAACTGTTGTCAGACTCTATTTATGGTCAGTGGTTCCTGCTGTTTCACTGGTGAGCCCCAAATCTATAACTGGTGATTTAGCTCCTGTGCATAGATAGCCAAGACAGCCTGTCAACCAATAAGTATCTTTCTTTCTACTCAGTCTCCAGCCCTTCTTCTGGGCCTCAGTCCAGCAGTTTGCCACCCCACCTATTACGTTCCTTCTCTTAACCTCTAGCTCTCTGCTCCCCCTGGCTCCATGTCAGGTTTGCCAGGCGGCCCACATCAGATGTCTCCAAATGAGACACAAAGGGGATCTGCTCACTTGATTTTGTGCTTATCACTCCAGTTGTTCATTTATTTTTTTGAATGAAATTCTATTGTGTGCTAAAAAATTCTTGAAACTCTTTGGTTATATAGAACTTTGAGACTCTAGATCCCATCTTGCAATCTAAAACAGACCAGGCAAGGTTGAAAAAAAAAGTTTTCAGTTTAATATCTAAGGTTGTAGAAGTTGGGCAGTTCTAATATTGCCATTTCCTGAAAAAAGATGTTCCAGATTTAAAGCACATGTCAGTGGTGTTTGTTTAGATACGTTATTGCCTAGAAGGGAGGGATAGATTCACCAGAATACGCCCCCTACCCATTTTTTAAAGCATGTTTGCTCTCAAGTCTAGGGTTTTAAGGTGGTAGTTAGTTTGTATTTATGTAAAGACTAGTGTTCTTACATGGGGCCATGGCTACTTTTAAAATTGAAATGAATTTTAATGTTCTTGTTTTTAGGCACTTTCATGTTTAGTTCAATTTGCTTCTACAAGAAGGTCCTTATTTAGCAGTCCTGAACGTGCCAAGTACCTTGGTAATTTAATTAAGGGAGTAAAAAGGATACTTGAAAACCCTCAGGTATTTATCAAGCAATGTAATTAATAATTAACTTTTCTGCTAAAAGGTGCATAATAAACACATGACTTTATTATGATTCTGGAAGAAAATGAGAGGTGTATTCTTTCCTAAATCTCATTTGTAGTAGAAATGGGCAGTTTTTAAAAGTGGATGTTTTCCTAAGTGACTTCTGTGTTGTTCTGTTTACTTTCCCCATTCGTTTAGGTGAATATGAATGGAGATTGTGTATCTTAGAATACTTCTGCTTTTTACCATTGTACTGCGTTTCTTTGCTGGTACTTTTTAAATTACTGGTATGATTAATTCAGTTATACCTACTATCTAAACTAGAAGACAATATGGGATTTTACCAATATACTTAAATTTTTGGTCATTTAACTCACCATTATCAGTCAATAAATATGTGGAAGATAGTATGCTAATATCAGATAATTCTTGTAATTGATTTTCCATCATCCTCGCGTTGATGTTTTATGACTGTAAAAGTTAGATTATGTATATATATTTTTAGAATTAAAAATATGTATTAAAAGAGCCATGAGTACAAAATGTATTTTTTAAATTGGTTCTTAATAATTCGAAACTATTTTATGTTCTTTCCTGGAGCTCATGTGAATGAAATTTTTACAGATTCTTTCAGTATTAAATAGTATTAAATTTTATGAATTCTATTTTATGCCAAATAGAATGCAAAGTTCTCAAACTGTAAAGATAATAACACATGTGCCCTCTCTTCAAGGAGCTCACTGGGGGCACCTTTCTTGGTCTTTCCTTTTAATCTGTCCTCCTCGCAAAGTTACCTCTGTGTCTTGTAGTACTTTTGTTAAATTTTCTGCTCTTCGTTGCAGTAATTTATTTGAATGACTTAAGAGACAGGGAATTGTTTGAGGACATAATGCCTGTCGATAATAAATATTTGCTGAATTAAAAGATATTTCTGTTATTTGTGTGTGTACATGTACCATTTACTGTAAGTCCAGTGATATTGCTCTTTTCCACACCCTACCCCATGCAAATTATTTTGTGTAATATGCATTTTGTGTAATATATATTTTTGTGTTCCGAAACATTATGATTTAATCATCATGGTCAAAGCTTCCTCCAAAGCCTCTACTTTGGATTCCTTATTATTAATTATTTATGAAAAGATTATAGTCGAGTAGGAATCATTTTTTTTTCCCATTGATTACTACTCAGTTGATACCAAGTACAGTAAGCATCTGTGAAAACTGGGAGACTTAAGAAAATACTCTCAGAATTTTCTTGATGGTATAATAGGATTAGCTTGGTTTGTTTTTTTAAAAGATTTTTAAAAAGCTTTTCTTTTTGTTCCATAATTTAGGGTTTGTCCGATCCAGGTAATTATCATGAATTTTGTCGATTTTTGGCTCGTTTAAAGACAAATTATCAGCTGGGAGAATTAGTTTTGGTGAAGGAATATCCTGAAGTTATTCGCTTGATTGCAAATTTTACCATTACTAGCCTACAGGTAAATAAAGATATATAACTGATGTTAAACTATAGATAGTTTTAAAACCCTTTCTTTGATGGGAATTTTAAAAAAAAGTGTTAGAGCCCTTTGTTAATAATGTTCATTGCAAGGATTTAGGTAAAAAAGTTAATTGCAGCAAATTTTATAATAATAAAAATTTAGAGGGTATCCAAATATCTAATAATTAAAGACTAAATCAAGAGCTGTAGTAAAATTTATGTGAAGAAATAAAGTTTTACAGATTAGTTTATGGAAAAATTTTTTTTCTATGTTTGGGGGGAAATTTTAAAGTCATATTTTCCTCATAATATCAACTGTGAAAAATATTCATGAAAAGAAGAGTAGAAGGAAGTACACAAACATTTAACAAAATTTGTTATGTTAAATGTTCATTGGTTATATAATTAGAATAAAAGTTTATTTCAAAATGTATGTTTAGTAATTTTGCCTCTGTAATTTTTATTCCAGGAGGATATAAGGTCATTTTAAGTAACATTTGCTTTATTTCTTTGTAGCATTGGGAATTTGCTCCCAACAGTGTTCATTATTTATTAACTCTGTGGCAAAGGATGGTAGCATCAGTTCCTTTTGTGAAATCAACTGAACCCCACTTATTAGACACTTATGCACCAGAAATCACGAAGGCCTTTATCACTTCTCGGTTGGAATCTGTTGCCATAGTTGTGAGGTATTGAAAACTAAATGTTCTTGTTGTATTTTCATCTTCTGCATCTTGGAATTAAAAAAAAAAATTGAGATACAGTTTACCTATGGTGAAATTTACCCTTTTTGGTGTACAGTTCTGTAAGCTCTGTCTGACAAGTGCATACAGCTGTGTATAACTACCAACAAAATCAGGATATAAAATAGTTCCATCACTTCTAAAAGTTCTTTTAGGTCCCTTTGTAGTTAGGCCTTTCCTGACTCCTCAGCCTCTGGCAATTATTGATTTGTTTTGCTTCCCTAAAATTTTTGTCTTTTCCAGAATGTTGTATAAATGCAATCATATAGTGCGTAGCCTTCTAGTCTGGCTTCTTACACTTAGCATGATGCATTTGAGATTCCTGTGTTTTGCACCAGTAGGTTTTTTCTTTTTTATTGCTGAATAGTATTCAATTTTATGGATATATCACAATTTATTAATCCATTCACCTGTTGATGGATATTTGGGCTCTTTCCACTTTTGTATAAAGCATCTGTAAGTGTTCTTATACAGATTTTTGTATGAATGTAAGTTTTTCTTTGTCTTGGGTATGTACCTGGGTATGAGATTCCTGGGTTGCATGGTAAGTGTGTGTTTTACTTTGTAAGAAATTGCCAAACTATTTTCCAAAGTGCCTGTATCATTTTGCATCCCTACCAGCAATGTAAGATCCAGTTACTCTGCATTCTCACCAGCACTTCATATTGTCAGTTTTTAAAAAAATTTTAGTCATTCTAGTAGGTGTGATAGTTCATTATGGTTTTAAATTGCATTCCCTTAATGACTAACAATGATGAATATCTTCTTATGTGCTTATTTATCATTTGTATATACTCTTTGGTAAAATTCCTGTCAAATCTGTTGCCCATTTTTTTTTAACTGGGTTGTTTATTTTATTATATTGAGATTTGAGAGATCTGTATTTTTTTTTTTATTATATGTGTTTTGCAGTTATTTTCTCCCAGTCCATAGCTTGCCTTTTCATTTTCTTAACAAAGTCTTTCAAAGAGCAGGAGTTTTAAAGTTTAATGAAGTCCACTTTGTTCTTTGTTTTTTTCTTCTGGACGTTTTATAGTTTTAGAATTTAAATTTAGATCCCTGGATTGGAGGGAGGGTATAGGTCAAGTGGTAGAGTGCCTGCTTAGCATGCACGAGGTCCTGGGTTCAATTCTCAGTACCTCTTCTAAAAAATAAATTAAAAAACCTAATTACCTCCCCGCTAAAACAAACTTAGGTTCCTGATCCCATTTGAAGTTAATTTATGTATGTGATAGGTAAGGCTGAATTTTTTTTTTATCTTTTTGCATATGCATGACCAATTTGTGGAAAAGACTATCCTTTCTCCATTGAATTGCCTTCATACTGTTTTCAAAAGTTAATTGACCACATACGTACAGTTCTATTTCTGGACTCTCTTCTCATTAATCTATGTGTTTCTTCTTCTGCCAATACCCTGCCTTGAGTACTGTAGTCTTATAATAAGCTTTGAAATCAAAGTGTGAGTCTTCCACCTTGGTTTCCCCCTTTGAAAATTGTTTTGACTTTTTTACTTCCTTTGCTTTTCTGTATACATTTAAGAGTCATCCTATCAGTATCTCCAAAGAAGTCTTGCTGGGATTTTGAGTAGGATTGTATTGAATTTATAGATTAATTTGGAGGAAGAATTTACATCTCAGCAATATTGTCTTTCAGCCAGTGAGTGTGTGTATCTTTTATTTAGCTCTTCTGTGATTTCTTTTATTAATGTTTTGTAGTATTCAGTGTTCAGATCTTACATATGCTTAATTAGATTTAATTAGTATTTTGTGTTTTCTGGTGCCTTTGGAAGACACTGCTTTTTAAATTTAAATTTCCAGTTGTCACTGTTAGTATATAGTAATGAATTCTATTTATTGACCTGTATGCTAGGACCTTGGTAAACTCACCTGTTAATACTAGTAGCGTTTTTGTCGTTACTTTGGTATATTTTATGTATGTAATCATATTATTTTCAAATATAGACTTCTCATTTCTTACCTTCCAATCTATGTCTTTTCTTTACTCATGATACAATTTAATATAAATAAAGTTTATTTGTGGTGAGTAAAATGTATGTCTCATTCTAATGTCTGCAAACCTGTTCTTTTTGTAGAGATAATTTAGATGATCCACTGGATGATACCGCCACTGTGTTTCAGCAGTTGGAGCAGTTGTGCACTGTTAGCAGATGTGAATATGAAAAGACGTGCACTCTTCTTGTACAGTTATTTGATCAAAATGCACAGAATTACCAAAAGCTTCTGCATTCAGCTTCTGCAGTAAATATGGACATGACAATTCAGGAAGGTCAGTGAATTTTCTATGACTGTTATATGGCAGTATGTTGAATTTTACTTAGATTCATTAATCAATGTATTTAATAATTTTACTGCAACTTATTTTTATATATTTCCCCCAATTCCTGGTCCTCTAATAATTCATTAATTTTATTAATCTTCTGGGTAACTTGGTGGCTTGATGATTAATTTTTAGTTCTTTGTAAGATTCACAGGGAATATTTCTCTCTGGAATCAGAATGAAAAAAAGCTGGTAAAGATCTTTGAGTAGAGTTTATTAACTTATAACTGTCTTTTAACTAGTCCTGATTCCTTCTTCTGTAGCTCACTGCAAATTCAGAGCCCAATTTTAGCCAGTAAAAAACTATGTTAAGACCTCATCATGATTTTGCATTTGTGTGTTAGTCTTCACCATGGCTTTATTTTATTATTGTATTTTAATTTCTCAATTTCCTCATTATTTTTCATTTTTTACTGAAGGAGGATTTATTTATTTCTGTATGTTTCTTTAAATACTTTCAAGAACATAGGGAATTAAATAGACTTTTCAGATTTTTAAGTGAGATGACTTATGAGAATGGAACTGGCTATATTCATTTCTAATAGGAGGCACTTTAATTATAGTTCCAGGATTTTTTTTCTTTCATATTTGTTTATTTTATTTTGTTTGGAAAGTGGGTGATAAGGGATGATACTTAACTTACTTTCAATGATTTTCCATCCAAACTCTTTTTTAAAAAATTCTTTAAAAATTATCCTTTACATTTACATTTCTTCTAAAATGTCTTTTATTCATTATCTCTCTGGTTTATTTTTTTTAAGTCACACAACACTGCTGAGGGGCTAGATAGTGGAGTAGTTAACCTTCTTTAAATGTTCTCTTATTAATATCTCATTATTTATAAATTAAATTGGGGGGATACTAACATTTTGTTTTGCTGCATTTTGTCTTCATGATTGATTTTTTTAAGTAGGATTTTAAAAATTATGAAATATAAAATACATACAAAAGGATATTTATGTATTTTGAGACCTAGTGACTAGCAATAATAAACACCATTCATGTAGCTTAAACAACAGATCAATATCAATCAATACCTTTGCTGCTCCTTCCTTCCTACCCACAGAAAATACTTGCTGCTTGTGTTTGTCAGTTATTTTCAGAGTATATGCATATGCAATAAATCTATGAAGAAAGAGCCTTTTCTTCATGGTTTTATTGCATGTGCATATATTCTGAAAATAATTATGGTTTTCATATTTCTGAACTTTACACAAATGAAATCAAACTGTATATATTCTTGTACAACTTGCTTTACTGTTTTTTCTCAGCATTGCATTTATGAGAGTTCACATTGATGCTGTAGGTGTAGTTCCTTCATTTGTGCAGTTCTGCTGCAGTTCTCTTGTTTGAATATCCTGCAGTTTATGCATTTTCTTGTCAGTGGGTATTTGTGTTTTCTCTGTTTTTTACTAATAAATGAACGCTGCTGTAAAGATTGATACACATATTCATAACATAGCCAGCTTTAGTAGATAATGCCAGACTATTTTACAGAGTAATTGTACTACTTTATATCCCATCCACTCTGATCTAGATCCGTGCCAGTAACTCATAATGTTAGACATTTTTGTCAGGCTAGCTGAGGTAATATACCTCATGCATATCTTACTTTACACTCCCATGATAGTTAATGAAGTTTAGCATTTTTTAATGTTTATTGACTGTTAGTTGTGACATCATCAGTGATATATGTGTCTGTGACCTTTGTTCATTTCCCCCTCGCCATTTGGATTATTGGTCTTTCTCTTACTGGTTGAGTTCTTTTATATTTTTAACACGAATTCTTCCTTCAGTTATTTGTAATATAAATATTGTCTCCAAGTTTGTGACTTGTCTTTACATATAACTTTAATGTGTCTGTTCTCTTAGTTATTTTCATATCAAGCTTTACTTTAATTAATTTACCTGTCCTTTTGAAGAGATATTATATTTACATTGTCCACAAAAAAGAAAATGTGTTCTGTTCCAGTCCTGTAATCTTTCCTCTTCACTCTAACAAGTGACGATTCTTACTAGTTTTGCATCTTTCTTAAGTTTCTGTATTCGTATACATATATGAACATGTAAGTTCTTATCCCCCCTTATTTACATAGAATGGTGCATACCACACTCATGTTCTATTCCTTGCTTTTTCTCATTTAACAGTGTATTTTTTAGTTATTTTTAAGTCAGTATATAAAGAATGCTTAATTTGATAGTTGCATTTTTTTTAATGTATCATAATTTATTTAACTATTCTCTACACTGTTGAGAGTCATTTGAGTTGTTTGCCATCTTCTGCTATTAAAATTAATGCTATGCAGATTAACCTTGTACTTGTCATTTTACGTGTGTGTAGGTATATCTATAAGATGAATATCCAGAAGTGGAATTACTGTTGGGTGGAAAGGTTAATGTATTTGTAATTTTTATAAATAGTGCTAAATTAACTCTCTGTGAGAACTGTACCATTTTACTTGTCCACCAACAATCTATGAGAGTTACATATTGCCTTCACAGGACAATGTTACCACGCTTTTGAATTTTTGGTAATCTTACAGGTGAAAATGATTTCTGTATATAACTTAACATTCTCATATCAGTGAGGTTAAGAATTGTTTAAGCTTATTTAAGAGCTATTTGGTCTTCTTTTTCTGTAAAAGAACTGTTCATTTTCTTTGCTCATTTTTTATTGGGTTATTGGTTCCTTTTTTTCCCTCATTGATTTGTAAGAGCTCTTTATAGTTTGGAATAATGAGCCCCTTGTCTTGTGTTAAGAGTTGCAAATATCTTTTTCCTTTTTTTTTTTTTTTTTAGTGTACCATTTGATGAACTTAGCAGATACATAACCATGTAACTACCACCACATTTAAGATATAACACTTTCTTCACTCTGTAAATAATTTTCTCATGCCTTTTGATCACTTTCCCTAACTCTTGGCCCAGGTACTCACTGGTTTCTGTCACTGTGGTTCATCTCTCTTAGATTTCTGTATATATGGACTCATACAATAAGTGATCTTTTGTGTTTGGCTTTGTTTGCTTAGGATAATGTTTTTGACACTCAAGTATATTGTATATATAAATACTATGTTCCTTTTTATTGCTGTGTAGTATTCCATAGTATAGCTTTACCTTAGTTTGTCTAGCTGTTTCCCACTTGATGGACATTTGAGTTACACTTGCAGTTTTTGGCTGTTATGAATAATGGTGCTATGTACATTTGCAGAAAACTCTTTGTATATTAAATTTTCATTTCTCTGTGATAAATACCAGAGACAGATGGCTGGGTCATATGAGAAATGTATTTTAATATTATAAGATATTGCTATGCTGTTTTATAGAGTATACCATTTTTCATTCCCATTAACAGTATATGAGAGTTTCATTTACTCCACATCTTCATCATCATTTGATATTGTCTTCTTTAGCCATTCTACTGGATATCTAATAGTAGTATCTCACTGTGGTTAAACTTTGAGTTTCCCCAGTAATTAATGATGTTGTTGTTTTTGGGGCCTCTTATATATTCTTTTGTTAAATGTCTGTTTCCATTTTTTGACTTTTTAAACTGAATTGTTTGTTCTTTTGTACATATTCTTATTATTGAAATTGTAGGAGTGTTTTATATATTCTGTATATAGTCCTTTTTTCAGGTATATGTTTGCAAATATTTTCTTCCTGTCTGTGGCTTGTCCTTTCAGTTGTCTTTCAAAAAGCGAAAGTTTTAAATTTTGATGATTAAATCCTTCAATTGGATTTTTTTCATTTTTTTTCTTTATGCTTTGTGCCTTTTATATTTAAGAAACCCTGTATAACCAAAGTCACAGTGATATTCTAGTTTTACTTCTAGAAGTTTAATAGTTTTAGCTACTGTGTTTAGGTCTGTGATCCACTTTGGGCTAATTTTTGTGAATGATGTGAGGTAAGGAGAAGGCCTCCTCCCCAGCCCATACGGATATTGAGTTGTTCTAGCACCATTTACTGAAAAGACTTACGTCTTTTTTCCCATTGAATTAGCATGTACATTTGTCAAAAATCAGTTGACCATGAAAGGCTTGGATCTGTTTCTGGACTCTATTCTGTACCATTGATTTATATGTCTATCCTTACGCCAGTGTTATACTGTCTTGGTTACTGTAACTTTATCAGTCTTGAAATCAGTTAATTTAAGTCCTCAAATCTTGATCTTCTTTCTCAAAATAGTTTTGTTTTTTACTTTTCTGTATTAATTTTAACATCAGCTTATCAGTTTCTTAAAAAAAGAAAATTCTTAGAATTTTGATTGAGGTGCCCTCAATCTGTATATCAATTTGGGCCATCCTGATACCCAGTTCATGGACATAGTATATTGCTCCACTTATATAGGTGGTTTTAAAATTTTCTTTGCAATATTTTATTGTTCTCAGTGTACAGATATTTTAAATCTTCCACTAAGTATATCTCTATATTTCTGATGCTGTTGTAAATTTTGATTATTCTCTGCTACTCTGTAAGACCAGAACTGATTTTTGTCTTTGTGTTGTGACTTTGCTAAATTTTCTTATTAGTTCTAATAGCTTTTTTTTCCCTGTAGATTCTTCAGGATTGTTGTATATGATCATGCCATCTGCAAATAAAGAGTTTTATGTCTTGTCTTCATGCCTTTTATTTCTTTTTCTTTCCTTATTCCACTGGCAGAACCTTTAGTACAATGTTGAACAAAAGTGGTAAGAGTAGATATTCTGGCCTTGTTTGTTTGTATATAGAATGCATTGATTTTTTTTTTTTAACCATTGAGTATGATGTTACCTGTAGGTTTTTTTTAAAGATATAATAAATTTGAAGAAGTGCACTTCTATTTCTCTGGCTATTTATAATGAACGGGGCATTGATTTCTTTGAATGCTTTTTTATGTGACCTTTATTTTCTTTTTTATTTTGCTAATATAGTGAATTACATTGATTGATATTTCTTTGTAAAACCAG